ACTCGTCAGCTTGTGAGGCGGGATTTTTCTTCAACAAACTTTCGATGAAACCTGAACCCTGTCCTAAAGGTAAGTTTATTGTTCCCTCACAATATTTGATCATTTTACCGTTCCTGAAGTCTGAAATCACAACAACTTCCGATTTTTTGTTAAATTAAGATATAGTCAGTAGCCCAAGTTCATTGCAGTGTCCAAATGTGGAAATTTAATAAGAAACAGTTGTTTCTTTCGCGGTTGACAGATAAGAGCTATTTACCATCGATTATATTCGTGCACTTATAGAATTATTGACAAATTAAATAGTGAGAACAGCTCACTAAGGGAACAAAATTGTTCACATGATCTCAGGAGAGGAGTGAATTTAACCCTCAGCAGTTAAGCGATTAAGGCGTAAAGTCATCTCTGGGCTTAAAGTAAGAATCTATCATAAAATTGTAGAGATGTTGACTTCATAAATGCTTTCAGGCTTCTATTGTCCCCAGGACCAAGTGTGTATCATACCATGCCCAACGGGAGCATACTGTGTTAGAGATAAACTAGTTAACGCCACGGTAAGTTTTTTTTTATTTTTTTTATCTTTTTGTTTTTGTTTTCATTATCAACTCAAGACAGAGTGAGTGGAGCGGTAGCCTAATGTGCAACTCGTTGCACTCGGGGTCGAGAAGTATGGGTTCTCGATACTGGCCGAGTCTCTTACATAAAGTTTTTGGGGATAACACTCTACCCAAGAGTTTGAATGAGTAGCGGTGAATTGTCAGGGAAGCCTGATGAAATTGATAAAATGCTGAAGAATAACCTTGCGAGGGCCTAGCATTTTATCCGGGGGGAGGGAGAGGGGCAGTAATACTCCTTGTCGCACATGCGAAAGAAATTATTTGCGTAATAGTAAAGTTGATTCAAACAAACTTTGAAACATTTTTCTGTCAAGTATCTGTCGCGATCTGGCACCTGTCAATTAGAAAGGAAAAAAATCCGCGTACACTTTTGAACGATTGGCAAACAAACTTGAGTAACATGATTATCACGAGGATGTTTTCTTCAAATGTCGGAAATGCTTCTTCTGACAATATACTCACGACTCGCTTTCAACTGAATAAACTGAACAATTTTATTTCGACTCCTGTGAGTTTACCAACTCTCTTTCCATGTGCTTTTTCTCATCCCATAATGTTTTTTTCCTTTCAGTTCCCAGCCTCAGCGGCTATGCTAGCTAGGGTGCCTGACTGGTCTTACGGTTCGGCATAAACAAAAAAAAAATAAATGCGGCTTAAACTTAATATAATCTCCACACAAAAACCGTAATTGAAAATATTTTTAATTTTCAACGACGATTAATCTTCAAAGATTTACCTCTGTTCAGTTTTATATGTAAATTCAGATGTTTGTTTTGAAGTTTTGAGAGTCTGTTTTCATGGCGTATGTAAATCTTGTATTTCTTCCGCCGAAGAACTGAAGTCACATAGGGCACGTTTTCTTGCTAGACACAAGGGGATATAATACGAAATTTATTTAGTGAATTCCTTCGGTTTCTACTGGAAGAACTTGCAAAGACTTAGCGGAAGTGCATTTGTAGTCGAATTTAAAATTTCGCACAGGGTTTCACAACTTACATCGTTTTCTTTATCTTGGAGTATGTTTTCCTCCTCGGGATAATAAAATTTTCCTTCGCTCTAATATAGCTTTCGTTGTCTTGATCCATAACTATGAGTCAGTTATTGCAATATTTACATATTTTAGCCTCTCTCGTAAAAAGATTGAAAGTTACAAATTGCAAAACTCGGAAGCGTCAGATAGCTGGAGCGCGCTGAATAAGCCAGTCAGTTTCGAGGATTTAGGATTTCGGACCGCTGAGATACTTATAAAAAAAGTAAAAAGGGCCTATAACTGAAAGTGAGTTTTTGAAATATCGCTGGAATACCTAGAGAGTGGGATCAGTTATGGAGACTTACAAGGCTGTCTTTAGCTAAAATCAGTTTTTGGATATAGGCCGTAATGAGCGATTTGACTTCCCCTTTACTGTAGGTGAGGCTTACAGTGAGGGGGAGGGGGTGGGGGGTGAAGAGGAGTTCGTTTTTTTAGACAAAATAAACTTTTAAGTATCCATGCAAGAAATACTATACTTAAAATAATTTTACATTTACGTTACAAAATGCTATGTTCTAAGTCACGTTCCCCGTGATTACATATCTGTAATGGCAGAGCCCATCATTTACGTAGCTGACGAACAAGAAATTTTCAACCAATTTTCTAGAAAAAATCGCCTCAGTTGTGCCGCGAGAGTGGAAAATGCTGCAGTCCTTCCCAGTCCATCCCTGTTTTTGATCCTCGTGCAGCTTCGAAGTATATTTGCCCTGGAGCCCACCGTCCAGTTCCGTGTCCTCAAGGCAACTTTTGCCCAAACGTCACTATCCAAAAGACATGTCCAGGGGGGTATTTTTGTCGGAATGGAAGCGTGGAACCACAAAACTGTCCGGTAAGAGGATCTCCTCTTGTTATTGGTAGTTGATAAAAGTCACGATATTATTTATGAGAACATAATGAGCATTGTGTGCATTGTTACTAGTTATGTCATAAGAGCAAGGAACGCATATTTCCGGGCTCTATAACTTAATAAAGACACTTGGTAGGTGTCCGAGAACACTCGGAAAGCTTATAAATTACGCGCCTTCGGCTCGTGATTTTTAAGCTTTCCTCGTGCTCTCCCAACATCCCAAGGTGGTTTTATCACTTTAGAGAGCCCGGAAAATTGTGTTCTGTTGCTTAAATAGGGCACCTCCAAAGGCAACTTCAAATTGATAAGTACCGTTCCAGACAGCTGCGAGATTAACAGAAGGTTTTGAAGCTACTGGTCATCTGAAATCCAAGTTCAAGACTATGGAAATCTTATATGTTTGTGGAAATACTTCAACCTCGAATTTAGCTCGGCTAATTGTTGCTCCGTTGGAACTGTCGTTCAACTGGTATCGGGAAAACTTGGATAGAATACAATTCAATGCAATAACTATATTCATCCAGGGTAAAAGTTAAGGCATAAGAGAAAATGATTAGATTAAAAAAATATAGATATACATATAAATCTCTAAAAAAAGTGCAAAAAATCAAAAGAATAGCAGAAAATGCTTACAGAAAAGATGTCTGTTTTCCATGAATGCCATGCATTTCGTTGTAGGGATTATGTTTCATTTCCTTTTTTGTTGCAACTGGATTTAAAGAGAATCGAGTTTCTGCTTGCTATGGCTTCAGAGGTAGACCATTCCAAAGCAACAAACCTTTCGAAGCGAAGCTGTCTTTGACAAAGTTGATTTGAAACAGTAAATTTGTTACTTTGCTTTCCATGTCGAAGCTGCAATGCTTATCCTAGGCTTTTAGTTTTGCAACTAAGTTAAGCGTAATTCACGAAAGGGAATAGAGACCTTAAGATACCCCGAAATCGGTGTACAGGTAACGGGTAGCGCCATGTTTATTTCATTTTGCGATGACGTCATCGATCTTACCCGGTAGACCCAGCCGTTTTTCCGGGGTAGACACCAGTTTACCCGTAGAAGAATTACGAGTACGAGAGTACGAGAAGGACGAGCTACATTATGGAGAAACGAGTTAAGACGTTTTGAATCGTTTGACTCCTTGGCAATGTTATTGCAAGTCTGTTGAAATATTTTTGCCAATTTTAAATCTTAGCGGGAAAGAAAGCGCGTCAAACTGGATTGACTTTGGATCTCAAATGCGAGGGTTGAACTCTGAAACGATATCAATTTGTGGCAGTAATTTGGGGGATTTCTGAGAATTTCTCTAACGGTTGTGTCTCCCAAAAGCACTAGCATTGACAAATATGGCATGGGAGTCAATGCTAAATTTGACAATCAAAGAAATTGCTTGGTGATGTGCCTCGATCAAATGGTGGGGTTTGCGATAACAAGTGTCGTGCGCTCGCGCTTTCGAACAAGAAGCATATCATTGGTGTACTTTCTAAAGACAGAACATTCGTAAAGGAGAATTTTGGATACATTTGATAGACTTWATTAAACAATTTAGAGAACTTATTTCTGAAGAAAAAGAGTAAACCTTGCCGCCGCGGCGGCCATCTTTGTAAACAATCGTTACAAATTCCCACGTGATAACTCTTCGGGTATCTTAATCAAATTAGGTACACACATAAACATTTTACGTGTACGGGTACACTACCCGTACCCGTACACCGATCTCGGGGTATCTTAAGGTCTCTAATACCTTATCAGATCATCTTCCCTCATCTGTTTTGCATTTCGGCATGGCAGACATGTAGAGGATGTTATCCCTGCTGTGGCACAACTCCTTTTTGAGCACCGTCTTATTTTGTTTTATTTCTAGATTCTCTCCATATGCAAGAAAGGGTCTTCAGCTCCTGTTAGCGCTCCTGGTGGTGTTTTACTGATTTTGGGAATATTAGTGGTCATGCTGTTGCTTTTGTATTGTTTCGACCACGAAGAACAAGTTATGGATCTGTTTGAAAGTTATTTGACAAAGAGATTCTCTGTAAAGCGGAGTTTTGGAATGCAAGAGAGTATCAGGAGGAACACTATGGACAAATATCGAGAGGAGACGGAGCCCAAGACACAAACCATCACTATTCGCTATGAAAACCTTAGCCTCTCTCTAAAAAAGGGAACTAGATGGTCATGCAAGCGAATAAAGGTCAATCTCATGTGCGATTGTTCGCCGAAGAGCATTTTTCTTACTTCTGAATCCGAAGACATTATTTAGTCGCACACTGTTGGCAACGAAGATGATACTATTATTGCTACTACTGCTAATGCTATTGCTATTATTGTTATTACTAAGATAATAATGCAAATTATGCTATTAATAATGATAATTAGGATAATTAATTGATTATTAAAATGATACATTAATTATTTGAGAAATATAATATATGTCAATGATAATAAGAATATCATTATCATCTTGTTATTCGCATGATTCATTTCTTTTTTTATTTGCGGCCGAAGTGTTGAAGGGGAGCGTGTAAGCATTTGAATAAACTTTGGCGCGAAAGAACGCCAAGGAAATTAAAAAAGCGATCTTCGGGATACCTTTCAAAAGACTCAAAGTTAAAGCAAGAGTTTCTGCACGAGTAGGAGTGGAAAGGAAACATGTCTGTATTGGACATTTGTTTTTCATCCCGAACATAATCTCTAGTGGAAATAGAGTAACAAGGAAGGAGTTAGACCTTACTCCTTGAAATATTTGTGTATGGGCACTAAACACATTGTAGGTAATAGAGTGTTTAATGTAGTAATGCGTTCTTGGTTTGTGATTTCTTTTTATTTCAACAGACAGAGAAGGCCCTTCTTCAGTGCGTGTCCGGTCAACTCTTACCTGGGGAAGTAACTGCAGTAATGGGTCCTTCGGGATCCGGCAAAACAACCTTTCTCAACACTCTGAGTGGAAAAGCTCATTATGGGGTGAGTCCTTCTTTTGAAATAAGTATAACAAAAGTACTATCATTCGAGCTAAAATTTCGAGTGAATTGTGCCATTTGTTTACTTCAGCATTCGTGAGCTCGCGAGTGCGATCGCTCCCTCGATGCTGAAGAAATTAGAGCTTCTCTTGGTGCTATCAATGCTTCACTTTCCCTTGATGATGAACTAAAGATGGTGTAGTAATAGAAATCATCCTGAAAAGCGGCCAATAATAATGCGAAGCAGGATTCGATGGTTGGTTCTCCGCAGGAGCCTTCAGCCAGCCGAATCCGATCCAGGAAAAACAAAATATTTTTATCATTAAGAAATATGGCATTGCGATAACTTGCTGTATAAACTACTTTAAGCCTTTTTTTTTTTGCGTATTATTTTTGTTGTTGCTAATAATACATTTTCAATTGCACTACTACTTACGATACAATGCTACGGCACTACCATACACATACACAGGCCTTGACCTTCTGATGCCAGCTTGAAAAGTTCGTATGAACACACGCGACGCTCCTTGGATGACACAACGCTTGAAGGATCTAATCCGGAAAAGGCAACAAGCCTTCCACAATAATGGTGCGGACTCAGTCCGATAGAAATTGTATAGAAATAGGGTTAACCGAGAAAGAAAGCTTTGCAGAGCAAAGTTTTATGAATCAAGAGTAGCGCATGTAAAGAAGGAAGACCTTCGAGCCTGGTGGAGAGAGATGAAACGATTATGCAGTGGGAAAGCTTGCTCAGGTGATCTCCTTAATCACGTGAACGAAGTTGAGAATTTATCCACTCAAGATCTGGCGAATCTATCAATAAAGCATTCCTGGAGCCTCTTGAAAAGTATCGTCTATCTTGCCCCATCAGTCACCTTGCCCTGGAAAATGACTCCCCAGAGTTCCTGGAAGTATCGGAGGAACGTATATGGAAATTCCTATCAAATCTCAATCCCTCAGCGAATCAAACTTGATGAAGGATAGGTATCTTAGTGGGAATTTGTCCCCTCAGGCGTCCCGCAGGGAACAAAATTAGTGCCTTGGCTTTTTTTGATTATAGTTAACGACCTCGTTGTCAAAAATGCACGTTTATGGAAATATTTAGATGATACCGCTCTCCCCCAAACAGTCGCGAAAAGGGAACTTAGCAACGGCCAATGTACTATAGATCGTGTAGTACAAAGGACATTAGAAAACAGAGTCCTGCTGAACACTGATAGGTGTAAAGAAATGCAAAATTCCTTTACAAAATCGTAGCAAGAATTTTTCTTATTAACGGCGATGCTTTAGAAGTTGTAAAGTTATTGGGTCTCAATATTTCTAGTGATTTGACCTGGAATATTCTAAGAGACTATATTTTTTGGTGCAACTTGAGAGAGCTAAGGTTACTTGCACTGATTTAGGGCATCTCTACCCTAGTTGTATTAGATCAATTACCGAATTTGCAGTTCCGGCCTTTCACATCAGTTTGCCTAAATTTTCAAAGCAAGAATTGGAACTTATACAGAAGAGAGCAATGTCTATAATCTGCTAAGTTGTTACCTGCACCACAAGAATCTACTTATTCATTAAGGCGCGCGCGACATTTTAAAATGCTGCGTTTTAAAACGGACCGTTTTAAGAATAAAGGGTGAAAGTTTCTAAAAAAACTGTGGTGCTGTGTCGGTGAAGGGGTAACAAGGTAATTGGTTATATCAACTAAGTTGACATTGCAAATTGGCGACCGTAACGGGTTACAAGGCTGACGTTTCAAGCGTTAGCCCTTCTTCCCTCCGTACTTTTTTTTTTAATAAAAGTTACTGTTCTGACAGTGGAATCGTTACTTGTAACCAGCATGTTCAACTTTCGTTATAAACTTAACACTTCAGGAACGTTAAAGTAATTGACTTGATAGACAGAAAGAGTGAAGAGAGATTTGCGGAATTGATAAAACATGCTCTTAGAAAGCACGAGAGTCTACTTAGATCACCGTCTACTTAAACCGCTTACTGCAGTTTTTTTATGTTTTCAGAAACGTACTGGTAATATCTTTATCAACGATAACCCTGTGCAAGACTTGGGTGTTTTAAGAAACATCACTGGATTTGTTCCGCAGGTTAGTTTTGCATAAAAAGTAAGGAGCCCTTTAATATACTATTGGTGCATGTAGATATTACTTAACAATGTGTTTTCAAGACAGCATTTGAGAGAATATTGCGAGCCTTAGCAACAGAAAGAAGTCAAATACAATTCATAATTCCTTTAAGAGATAACTTAAGGTGATATCGTAAAATAGGATAGTGCTCACCGTGGTGATAAGTAATAAACTGTTTAATCGTTTGCCCCACGATATGGTCATTTAATAATAATAATAATAATAATTTTATTTATATAGCGCTAAAATCCAATAATTGTCCAAAGCGCTACCTAATTACAATATAAAATATAAAAATATATAATATAAAATATCTACAATATACAATATAATTCAAATATAGCCTAAGTTATCTACTATATAAATCAAAAACATCTCAAAACAAAACGAATCTCATAACCTATATGCTAACTTAAATAAAACAGTTTTAAGGGATTGCTTAAAAGTTGCCACTGAAGCACATTTCCTAATCTCTAGAGGTAAATCGTTCCACAATTTAGGTCCTGCAAGATTTGAGATGTAGATCGCGACGTTTCGACTTCTTAGTGCTGTTCCTCATCAGGCGATGGGGTCAATTGCTCACGCGTTGCCCTTTTTATCATGGTGATCTAATATGATTGGCAGATTTTGATCCCCATTGTTCTGGTGAGTTCTGGTGTCCTGAGAGTTCTGACTCCGAGTTGTTCCTTCGGCGATTTGCTGTCGTACCGGTCTCCAATCTTTTTTTTTTTTGATCGTTGGTATCCATGCTTCAGGAATTTCGATTTTTTTTTAATATTCGCCTTATTGTATTGTTCACATTTAAGTAATTGAGTCGTTTGACTGCAAAGTGTTTTTAATAATAAACGATAATTATTATAACTTTGCTTCGTTCAAAAGCAGGCGGTGGCCGTTCTTGATGGCGTGCTTAGAACAATTAAACAGCTTATTATAATTTGATTTGTATTTACTAAAATGCATGGGACAATTAGAGTTGTTGATACAACGTTTGAAATGATACTTGATGAGAATATGATTCAACGCAAGGATAAAAGGAAACTCCTGTGTCCGGCCCTAAGAAATTAAACCTGTGCTTATCCACATTATTTGCCTTTGTTGAACTTTTATACTTTTTTTATTCAGGAAGATATCATGCACAGAAAACTAACAGTTAAGGAGGTTTTGATTTATCAAGCAAGTCTCAGGTTGCCGTCCTCGATTTCCAAAGAGGAAAAGAAAAAAAAAGTCAAAGAGGTATGTGGTAGATTAAAATCTTGTATAATACCGGAACTGAATGATGGTAATTAGGAACCAGTGGGTAGGCTTGTCTTACCCTTCTCACTTTGTCAATAATAAGATAACTAATAGAATTAAAAGTGTGAAATTGGCCCTTTTGGTTTTACAGGTCTTGGATCAACTTGATTTAGCGCAAGTAAAGAATACAAAGATTGGAGACGAGGTATGAGATCTCTAGAGAGAAAAATGGTTGCCTTTTGGAGAATGTGCATAACACCAGCGACGAGCCGTTTTTGTGTCCCTGAAAAATAATCTAATGAAAGAGAATTTTACGCTTTTGAAAACAGCTTTTTGGTGACATGACTTCGGTTTGCTTCTTTCTAATGCCATTTGGAGCTTCACTTACAGATGTAAGTGTCATTTTCGTAGAACTGTGTGTTTATATCCTTTATTTGTTTGTCTAATTGTTTTCTTTTTTTTTCTGTCTTACTAGGAATCAAGAGGTATTTCTGGAGGGGAAAGAAAACGTGTCAACATAGGAATGGAATTAGTGACTGACCCGAAGTTGCTCTTTCTCGATGAACCGACGAGGTAAGACAGAAGGTTCTACGCTTCTTAAACGAGGTGGCGAAATTGCATGACTTGGTGTGGCACGTACGTTTCCTGGTTGATGGTATTTCAAATCCATAGCCACTGAAGGGACAACAAAGCGGAAATGTCATGAGTCGTTGCCATTGGTCCGTAGTGTCTCACTTTTACCACCATTATCACTTGATTACACATTCTAAGGCTTTAAGTACCGGATTCATTGAACTTTGCATGTTCTTTGTTGTTTCCCTTGTAGCGGTCTGGACAGCACTTCGAGTTTGACGGTTGTGGATGCGTTGAAGGCAATAGCTGAAGAAAAGAAACTGACTATTGTTTGCGTCATTCATCAGCCTAGATACGAAATATTCAGTAAGTCTGATGTGCAAATCACACAAAGTATTATTTATGCTGTGGCTTAGTTGCCGTTTCGAAACGGAAACAGAAATCTCTTGGCTATTCTATTGTATATGGCTGTTGTATTCCATAACTTACCTTGGTGTTCTTTTTAAATTCGAAAAGGAACCTTATTTTTGTTTTTTTTTAAGGCAAATTTCACAAAGTTCTCTTTCTTGCGCCTGGTGGACAAACCGTCTTTGTAGGTAGTGTACCAGAAGCAGAAAATTACTTTGAAAGGCTTGGATTTGAAAAACCTGATAAAGTGAACCCGGCGGATTTTTATATGGATGTCATCGTCAGATCATGCAAGAGCACTGATCAATCATCTAGTACTCTACCCGAGCGTTGGGAGCAGTACATTGCCGAAAATAACACGGGCACTGTAAATGCAGACCGTGCTGATGGGAGCCTGGCAGATCCAGCTGCGAGAGACGATGACAGAATAGAGCAAGTGTCTTTCAGATCTACTCTGGGACGACAAAATAAAGGTACTCAGTGACAAAATAGAGGTACTCATTTATTTGCCCCGCTCAGGGCAAATTTTCTTTTCAAACATTTATTCTATTTAAGTATGATTACTTGGGGTATACAGGGTTAGGGTTTCCATCGTATACAGAATATCTATACGTATAAAGTACAAAAATTGCGAGGATGGACAACTTCTGACGTAAAAAATATAAAAAAGTTTAATAAAAAACGTTTTGGTCAGAGACCTTCTTCAGTTATTTACATTTACCTTATTTACCTTATTTACCTTCTTCAGGTAAATAACTGAAGAAGGTCTCTGACCGAAACGTTTTTCATTAAAATTTTTTAAACTTTTTACGTCAGAAGTTGTCCATCCTCGCAATTTTTAAACTTTCTACGTTCGTGTTTGCTGTGAGGTTTGGACTGCGAATCTTTCTTGATCCTCCTGGCGCGGTGGACCTTTGTTGGCCTGAGAGTTCCACTAAGGACCATACATATATATATAAATTCTTGAACTTAATTTGAATGTATTTCGAAGAGCGCTCAACTCTTAGAGGAGCACTGATAATTATAACGAACTGATCCAAGACTTCAGAGGTAGTTCATCGTTTTATAACGACAGCTCTGTTTCGTATGGTCGAAAATGACCACACTCATCAGGTAATTTCAACCATTGACCGTTAACTTACAATTACTGGCTATAAAAGCTGGAATACGGTTGCTACTGGAGATATAAAAACAACGCTACTTATCCATATAAGTCATATGACTGGTACGCATAATTTCGGAGATTGTTACTTGATTATGAAGTTTTTAAGGAGGTATCTGTTTCTATGGGGGCATGAACTTGCTAGCTCATTTCGCTTGTTTAGACTGCAAAGTTCCTTTTTACATATGATCGTGAATTTTTTAAAAAGACATAAATTACATTTCTTAGTAATATTGTTGTACGGTTTGCATTGTTTGATGATTTTCCACGCTAGCTTGAAAGGTTTGTTATTGTCCTTCAGTGTCCATTTGTGTTTAGATAATTCAGTCTCGTGTCTCTTGTTTTGGTGTCGGAAGGAAGCTGTGTGGTTTCCGTACCGTTCTTTAAAGTTTGTCACGAGTCCCACGTATGAATCTGTTGACGTTTCAGTTTTGACTGTTGCTTGGTAGACTACGTTTGATGTGAGGCATTTTCCCTCTAGGGGGCATTGCTCTTTTTTCCAGCAGTTACATTCTTTGTCTAGTGTTTGTGGTGAATTTTGTGACTGGTTGCAATCTGATTGTAGCTTTTTGTTGTGTGACGCGATGATTGTTTTGACGTTAGGCAAGCAGGAGTAGCTTATCCTTAGAGTGTGGCGAATGAAGATCTTGTGTAATGGATGTTTTTTTTAGATGTAACCTTCGACCTTGCAAATGAATCTTAGAACCCATTCATGAAACCGAACAACAAACTCCTCTATGTTCACAGTCAAAGTAACCACCCACCCGCACTGCTAAAGAACATCCCGGAAAGTATAAACAAGCGATTAACCAGCATATCATCAAGCAAATAAGTTTTCGATAACGCCAGCCCTCCTTACCAAAAAGCCCCCTACGAAAGTGGCTACGACTATAAGCTTACATATGATCCACAGCCAGCCCAAAAGCGCAACAAAAATCTCAAAAGAAAAGTGATATGGTATAGTCCACCATGGAACTCCAACGTGAAGACCAACCTGGGAAGAAAGTTCTTAAATATTGTTGACAGATGCTTCTGCCAATCCTTTGATTCAACTAGACCCCTTTCTGACCTTTATATTTCTATTTGCATATCAAGAGAGAAAAATGCCCAACTTCTTGAGTCAGTTCTTAACGTTTCTTCGTCGTGAAATTCGGCTGCAGCTTCGTTTGTCACGATCACTTCTTCTGGATCAGTTCCTGGTTTTACTTGCTGGAGGTACCCTTGGGGCCCTGAGAAGAGAGGTTAGTCGGCATTTATACGTATTTAACGTAATTTGCAGTTGAGGATTATTATCGCTGTTGTGATACATAGTGCGCACGATAGTTTTGACCAAGAGCGTCGTTTTTGGAAACCTTTCATGTATCTTCATAGAGAGATTCGTTACTACATACTACAGTGCATCGCATACGCAAATGAGCATTTCTTGGAAAGAGCCCAAGGCTCCGAAAGTCTGAATTTATGAAATAACTGTGATAGTTAAATTGCTGTCAGTAGCAGCATTGATGCCTAGCTTTCCGCGCTGGGCGAGATTCATAGAAACTCCCTTCGCTAAAAAAGTAAACCAGTCGCCAGCTTTTCTGCATTCATTCTGTCGCAGTTTTTAGCTGCAATATTATTTAAACTTGCCGGAAAATCCTTTTTTTTTCTGCCACCAGGCTCCCCTTGACGAATTCTTCACTCTCGTCACCCTCAGTTCCTTAGCAATTGGTCTGACTGCTATGTTATCTGCGTTGAGATGTTTTGGTAGCACCAGGACTATTTTCTGGCGGTAAGGAGGGAAGGGTACTTGTCTTGAGTAGATTTTGTTAAAAGTAAGTCAGAAAGACGATCGACGATGACAACGGAGACGGAAACTTGGCTGCGACGGCGACATTGAAAATGACGATAACGACGAAGGCGAAACGGCACGTTTTTATGGTTTCGTTCTGACGGAGGGCTAACGCTTGAAACGTCAGTTTTGAACTCTTTACAGCAGCTAATTTTCTTTATCAACTCAGTTGATAAACGCAAAATTACCTTGTTACTTCCATCGACGCAGCACCACAGTTTCTTCAGAAAATTTCCCCCTTATTCATTTGATCGTAACGGCCACAAGGACGAGTACGAGAATGAAGACGAAGACAAAAACTACGATGACAACAACGACGGAAATGATGATGTTGACCGCGTAAACGAGTTGGAGGACGACAAAACGGCAACGACAACGGAGATCTATGGGGCTCCAAACCAGTCAATATTGCCTATGTATGTCTGTGACCCAGTTTACTTTTGACATGATCAACTTGATTTTTTATATGCTCAACTTTTTACATTTTCTATGGTGAACTTAACTTTTTATATGCTCAACTTTTTACTTCTTATATGATCAACTTTTTGGTTTTTTTTAATGATAAACTCGATTTATAATATGGTCATCTTTTTACTTTTCCTATTGCCAGCTTGACTTTGTGACCTCGACAATTCATTCCACTAAAACTCTAACAAAATAGACCACTTTCATAAATGGCTGCCGGATTAATATTCTTTTGTTTAAATTTAAATTAGCCCTTCTGGCCTCGCTTGAGATAATGTATTCTTTTGAATTTTGTAATGGAGAACGAGGCCAGAAGGGCTAATTTAAATTTAGACAAAAGAATATTAATCCGGCAGCCATTTATGAAAGTGGTCTATGACCGACAATAACGAAGACTTGCAACTCATCTCCTCGGCGTGTGCCGTAGCTAATTATAAGCAGGCTCTCGAAGCCATCGGCGATCTCCAAAATAATGACACTCGAAATGTGGTAGCGTTGACGGTTACCAACATTACCAACATTACCTCTTGCTCACACCAAGTAAATCAGATATCTTTTTCCAAGAAAAATGCATTTCTCTGCAAAAGCGTATCTGTTCTTCCTCAATGACGTAAGGTGCGCTCCCGAATCGTTCCTTCTTGAATCAGGTGGGCTACTATATGCCCTTTCATCGTGAAAATCTAACATCCCATTTTTGTATTGCTGCAGCTGATCGATCAAGTTCCTAACCATAATACGAGACAAGTTAAGGATTGATGCCACATCAATGAAATCTTCGTTATTCCCAATGTCTGATGTGAGTAACTGGATGGTCTCTGCGGCAGTTCTCAATTGATCAGCTGCCTGGTCAATATCCTGGCTCAAAATACGAGTTATTGCATCTTTCTGCTTCTTCAAATGAGGATATTGTGGACAGCAGTAGCTTTAAATTGTCAAAAAATAGAAACAATCTGTGCCCGTTGCGTTCTCTAGAGGGTTTTTGAGCCATTCTTTCCTCAAAAGTTGAAGAGTGAAGCATTGGCAGCCATCTTTGTTAGTGACTGGGTGCAATGCTTTCTGGAACGATTCAAAAGTACAAAACTTGACTATATAAGAAAGTCGAGTTGACCATAAAAGAGTAAAAAGTTCGCCATATAAAAAGTGGAGTTGACTATAGAAAAAGTCAAAAGTTGAGCATGTAAAAAGTCAAGTTGACCATATTAAAAGTCGAGTTGACCATATTAAAAGTCGAGTTGACCATGTCAGAAGTAAACTGGGTCACAGAAATACAGAGGGAATATAGACTGGCTTGGCACCCTATAGAGATCGGTACGAAGATGATGGATCCTTTCTTTTTCCATATTTGGCCAAAAAAAAAACAATTAAGACATTTAGAGAGCGCCCTTTCCCATGGGTCCAAAGGCGCTATTTACAAAGTCAAAATTCAAAAATAGTTTAAAACAATTAAAATTAGATTATAAAACACCAAGATCATTTCATGAATTTAAAAAGCAGGTGTAAAAAGAGGAGTTTTAAGCCGTCTTAAAAATGTCAAGAGATCCAACATCCCTAACATGCTGAGGAAGACTATTCCAGAGAAGCGGTGCGACAAGAGAAAAAGCACGACGGCCATAACTATCTGTGTGGAAGGCAGGGACGACAAGTAGATTCTTCGTTGAAGACCTAAGGTTGCGTAGTGTTATGTGAAAGAAATGTTCAGCTCACTTTTGGGACGAAAGAATAACTGGAAGCAAAAAAACTTCCTTTTTTTATTTGAAAACATAATGAGTAGAAGAACCTGACTTAAACGCATTGATTTTCTTGGAAATGGCTCGGACTGTTGGAGTGCGAGTGGTTTGTTATTTCCTTTTACTCCTATGTCTTCCTCATTGTCAATTTAACTTTGCAGTGAAGCCGCAGCTGGTGTCAACAGGATTAGCTACTTTGTGGCTGTTAATGTCGCTCAGATTCCAGTAATCCTCATCACTCCTGTTGTGTATTTGAGCCTGCTGTACCCGCTGATTGCACCGAGAGGTAGAAATAGGTGCCTTTTTTACGTGATAGGCACGGATTTTCATGATTTTTGATAAAGGGTTTGCCTCTGTTTGCCTATTCCAATAACCTAATAGTTGTTAGAGGCCCCTATATATTGTTTATCTGTTTTCTTCACAATGCAGAGCCTACCTATGTCCATAGTCGACCAAAACAAGTTAGTTTTTGACAACATGATATTCAGCACAATGCGATAAGATTTGAAAATACATGCGTTAAAATCGCACTGTAGTACAGTCTCGCTAATTCCCCCACACACCACTCAGATTCCGATCTACGCTTTTTTCTAACTTTTAAACCCTTCTTTTCTTAGCCAAGTTCACATTTCATTATACCGCTACACTTGGAGTTCAGTTCGCTTGTACTGGAGTGGGATACTGCATATCCGTTATCTTCAGCCCCAAAAACTCACAAATGGCATCCGTTACTTTTGCACTGATTTCCTCTCTTGTGGCAGGTAAGCAATGGAAAGGTTATCGTGACAAACAGTAAAACAAGGGGAAGGCAGAAGAGGAATGGAATAACGGAGATCGAAAATCGACAACGTCACGCTAATCAATTTGACTTCGTTTCTAAAACTATCCACACTTTGAGTTTTTAAATTATTTGCTTCCTTAGCGATTAGACAATATTTTATTACCAGGAGAAGGGTGTGAAAAATTTTGGGGGAGAATACACGGGTTACGGGGAAGGGGAGAGTTGGAGGTTGGATCAGCCAGTCGCCTGGCCAATAAAGTATATAGAGGGGGGATGGGGTGTGGAATACAGGAAAGTGACTGCCAGTAACTGCCAATGATGAGGGATCGTAAGGTTAAATTAGTCTTTTGTGGCACAACCAAGTTTTCCATTCCCGGCAATAATAATGACCAGTCCCTTCTCGTTAACTCTGTCTCGAATATGACGAAATTCTGAAATAAAATCCCAGTTTTATTAGTTGCTGATTACTTGCGTCTAAAAGTTCGAATATTAGACATTACGTTGTTCCGGATTCAGCGTCCTAAGCAAACAAATGTGAGAGAGATAATGAAAGCGTGCCATATCGCAAGGCGAGCCAAACGTGCGACCTTGCATAAATTTACCAGAATGTCTTTTGCGTAGCTTTTGGCAAAGGCGAAACTTTTTATAATCGTGACACGTTACAATGTGTCCCCACGATCGATTATGTATGAGTTGGCAGTCCTACAATGTAAATTTTTCCGGACGTAGTCCTGAAACGAGTTAGAGTTCTTAACCGCAATGCCTGCCTGTTATCTTCGTGAATTTACACAATCTTATTTCTGTTCCGCCCTTGTTTTGCAGGCAGTTCTCCTACACTGTGTAAACTGGCACAAAGCACATTTGGTAAAGTGATCTACAGTCTATCTTACTGCCGCTGGTACCTGGAGGCGCTATTTGAAAAGGAGGCTATTCGTTACCCAGACGTCATGGGTCCCTATGTGCATCGGTTATCGACAAGGAATGGTTACACACTGGATTACTACAACTCATGTGTAGCAGTCTTGTTTGCCATGGGGTTTGCCTATCGAGTGCTTGCTTTGTTGCTTATGTTGATTACAAATAGGGGAAAGCAAAAGTAGGCTAAAACGTGTTGTGAGAGAAGTTTGTTGGAAAGTAAATTGTTAGATTTTTAGCATGGCTTTAAATTGTATTTCCCCTTTGTTTCCTATAATGTTGAACACAAAGACAGGAACTCAACAAATGATTCAACCTGTGCAAAAAAGAATTTCTTGTTAGTTGAGAGTATGTATTTTTGTTTTCGTTAGCGAGCTCGAAGGTACTGTACATGTTTGATATGTCTCTTGCCAAGTGTCTCACTTCAAGGTCGCCCCCGTCAGTTCAAAAATCAGTATCCCAGGAATGCATAAACCCATGGATATTTAGGCAAACTCAAAAATGCCAAGTTTCAAAGCAGCGTATAGGAATTTAACGCTGTCAAAACGTTCCTCATTAGATGATTGATACCAAGTCACTCTAAACAAAGTATTACTCTCAGTTAACTTTTGTTGTGGTGGCATATAACTTTATGATAGAATTGAAGTTAACTTTGATTCGGCTTCTTGATCGGTATAAAAAACGTTTTCACGCGTATGATTTTAACTCTTCACGTTGCCTTTATTGTTCTCCATGCCTTAGATAAGGGCCTAATTAATACTTTTTGTGCTGTATAGTAAACATAGAGCCTTGATTAATCAGTGAGTCAGTTCGTGTCAAATAAAATTGTGTAGCTTTTGTCGTTGTTGCGTAATTCACAAGGGTCTTTTTAGGAAGTTGGGGGGGGGGGAATACTGCCCCTGAGGGATCCCCCGCTTGCTTCCCCCGTCGGCACACCCGTTCTCGTTTGTAAACACGACTGATAATTCTTTACGCATCAGCTAAGCGGTCCGTAACTTTTTAAAAATAAGTTCAGCTTTGAAATAATTCTTGAAATAACAACATATATGCACAGGCAAGACGTTTGTTTCATGGTACAGCCTAGCGAGCATGGGAACGAGTGACTTAAATTTCAAGATCTCTGAGACTTTAAGTCTTTCGTTGCGATAATTTTTTATGATGACACAAATTTTCCATGTTTTAGTGTTAAAAGAAGAACTAAAAGACTGAGAAATGTATGTGTACAAAGCTAAATAACCATTTTCGTTTTTGACCAGCCATTTCTTATGTGTTGTCAATAACGGGACACCAATGAGAATTTTTAAGTCCAGCAGAAGGGTTATGTGATTATGTACAATACAGTACAAGACAATATAATACAATACAATACTTTTGTTAATTCTCCCCAAGGGGTTTTTCAGAATTAATTTACAATGTGTGTATATAATATAAATAAGACTAATGATATCAATATAACAACTTATATGTACTTAATATAAATAACTTAGAATTAATACTACTAAAAATAACAATCATAATAACTAACCCTATGAAATATTCTATACTGAAAGTTATATGTTGAGATACCAGTATCCTATTTCTTCACTAGTTCTGCCTTTGTATGCTTTTTAAATGATCTTAGTGATCGAGCAGTTCTAGTGTTGTTACTGAGGCTATTCCGCGCTCTTGCTGCGCTATAAAAGAAACCACTAGGCTAGGCTGGGCAGCCGCTGTCCAGAATTTTGGCAAGTTTAGATCTTCACTGTTGCGGAGATTGTAAGCCTGTGAAGTTGATCGCTTCCCTATTTTACGGCTGTCATACCCATCTTTACGCCTGCGCTGGAGTAGGTAAAATATTCACTTCACCTTTATTTCTCCCACTCAGTCAACGCGCTTTGTGTAGTATGAGAAACACCTAATGTCTATGACAAGCAAATGGAAATGGAAACACATAGTTTTGACTGCGCGACCTTGGTGACTTGCATTCTAGTCATGAATTTTGTGACCTCTCGTTGCGAAAACTCTTTGACAATAATTTCCCCTTACCTCGCTGGAAGAGAAAAGAGAGGAAAAAGCACGGTTATAATTCTCATTTTGAGAAAATAGTTATTTATTTTTGATCGTTGAACACCTATTAGAATTTGAAGGCACACGCTGCAGTGCTTGTAAACCAGCAGAAGGGTTACGTTGGACCCAACTTTACACCCGAGCTAAAACAGCTAAAACTGATTAACGTCACGTTTGTGAATAACAAGTCGCTTTATGAAGAAAGAAACGTGTTATGTCTATTTTACATATAGGCAATAATCCAAAGACACCAAAGGCAAACGAAGCCATAGAGGCAAGTAAGTATACATAGCAGCGCGGAATGCAATGTAAATTAAAAACATTATTCCACACCTGAAATTTTGGCTTTCTCGAAATGTTCGCCCCTATTTAGTAAAAGTAAACAGAAACCTATCTCTTAATAAAAACCTTGAAACTTTAACGATATGTACATGTCAGTATTGTCGGCTTAACGACTGACAGTCTATCAGTTATTTTGGCGAATGAACCCTTTTAATAAATGACTGCATGATTAAAGAAGACGCAGTTCCTATCAACTTTTATTTTGTTATTCTTTGCCATTCCTGTTCAGCTGCACTTCCATAGGTTTTCTTATTTCTGTCCACACGATTGATTATTGGACAATAGCTGTTGTTGTGAGTGATTTTTTTTACTTCACGTAATAATCCCTTGGCCGAAGAATGCGTTGCACTCTATACTAGAGCCCTTGCTAATCAAGTCTTTCTATCACTCAAACAAAAATTGTTTTCCCTTGCATGTGCTTCTTACATTTACTGTAATTAAACTCCAATACCTCCAACTCTAACTAGGAAATAACCAGACAAAACAATTTTCCCTTTTAAAAATAACCGTTTTCTTTGCTGTACTTTCCTTTTATTTCCTTTAGCTTTTTGTTTGTTGGCAATTTTGCCCTTAATACCCATTTAAAGAAAACAAAGTCGATCGTAAGCTGCTTAAACTTTCAACATAAACACAAAACAAAATCTTCGTACGAAAATGTTTTTGTATCAACTTAAAAGTTAAATCTAAACGAAGCAAAGCTCGCGAATCGTGTTACTAATGTCATTCACTCCCTTTTAAACATTAGTACTAGAAGATGAAACTCGTATCCACGATTCGTATCCCAGAATTGCTACAATAGATATCTCGGATCATCTACTAACCTTTTGGCATTGTTGATATAACGGCGATACAAAAACAAAAATTTAGGAGATATTATAGAGACTACAGGCGATTTGATTCAGAACTATACCTACAGCCACAGCAATCGACTTGAATAGTATTTACATTGAAAGCAATGACCTAAATGAAATTGCAGCTAAGTCCATAAGTACTCTTTAGCTTATTGTTAATAAGCATGCGCCGTGGAAACAAATATCCCCAAAGTAAACAGAAGCAGTTTAGTAAGCATTGGATAACTAACGGTACTCTCAAATCTATCAAAAATAAACACAGCATGAAAAGAACATACTTTCTCTAAAATGACCCAAAAAGAAAAGCAGAATTTAAAAAATATCCTAATAAACTTAATTACTTAGAGAACGTTTGTAAAAAGGTTTATTATTGTAAGCAGTTCAACCTACAAAGGAATAATTTGATAGTTACATAGAAACTAATCGGTACTTTCATTAAACAGAAAACAAAGGGAAAACGTCAACTTCTAGAATTATGATGAATAATAAGATTTTCACTAAATTAGACATTGCAGAATAATTCAACAAATATTTTATTAGTGTAGGCCCAAGCCTGGCAAGCACCATTGATCATTATGATCAGGAGCCTACCAAATACATTAATAAGTCACCAGTCTCAAGTTTTATCGTGTTCCCTGTCGAGGCAACACAAGTTTGTAGGCTTTTCCAAAAACTGAATGGAAACAAAATAGCACTAGATATTCCAAATAGATTAATTTTAATTGCCTCTGAGCCACTATCTATAACGGTACAATAACTAATCTATAACGAATCTATCGCAAACGGTATAGTACCTGACGTGTTTTAATTATCAAGAGTTACACCAATTTATAAGTAGGCTGAGGTCACTTATACCGGGAACTACAGACCTATTGCCACACTCTCATACTTTAGAGAAGTGTTGGAGCGATTAATATATAATCAGCTCTACCTGTTTTCAGAAAAATAATGATATTATATATAAATATCAATTTGGCTTTAGGAAAGGCTATTCTACCGAACAAGCTATTTTAGAAATTACCGAGAACTTGAACTCAGGTATTGATAACGAACAAATTACCTGCGGCCTATTCCTCGATGTCTCGAAAGCATTTGATACAGTCAACCATGATATTCTGCTCTCTAAATTATATACTTATGGAATCCATGGAACCCCATTTAAATGGTTTAAAAGCTACTTGTACAATCGCACTCAATTTGTAAAGATTGATGAAATCGAATCCAGTATGGAAACTGTTACATTTGGAGTTCCCCATGGTTCGAATCCCGGGCCATTGTTATAAAGTAAGTAGTAAAGTAAAGTAAAGTAAAGTAAAGTAAAGTAAAGTAAAGTGTATTGACAGTGTTTCCACAGAGTGGCTCTTCATCTTTCACTAACTAAATACATTATAGCATCAACTAAAACCTATTTCATATTTACAATCGTAAATTTAAAATAGCTAAACATTCCAGTCTGTATACACTTAAAACTTTAAAATAAGATTTAAAATTACGAAAGGCGTGCCTTCGCCCGGTTTTTTTAAGTATTTAAATGAAAGCTATGCAAAAACATGCAAATCATCTCAGGTTTTCAGTTCCTTTGGTAGATTATTAAATAAAACAGCCGAGATGTCTTGAAAGGCCCCCTTTTCTAAAGGAACCTATAGTCTAGTACAGTCTGATGAGTGCAGCTCTCTACGTTTAGGGACTCGTTGTAATTTCAGTTATGTTGGCCACTGTTTAAAACAAAGCACTTTAAAGGTCAACTTCAGCAAATTAAAATCCCACCTTTCTTCCACAGGAAGCCAATTTAGCTTTAAAATGTCTCCAATGTTATTAACATATCTGCCATAAACAAAACTTGCGGCAGCAAACTCAATTTTTTAAAGGCGTTTCAGCAAGTATCGCGGAAAAGGTGAAAAGACGGAGTCACAATAGTCAAGTCTTGATAACACAAGTAATTCTGCAAGTCTCTTTCTTAGGTTGAAGTCTGTAAAGTGTTTCAACTTACGAAGTGTACGTAAGATTCCATAAGAGGCATTTGCCACATCCTTGACATGTTCATTCCACTTCAAATTCTTAAGAAGTTTTACTCCCAGTAACTTTGTTTCACTCACTCCTTCCACCTGGCGATTGGAGATTTCCAATTGTGTGAGCTAATGTTTAAGACCGTGGACTCGAGCCAGTTGATTTGTTGATAGCACCATCTGTTTGACACGATGTCAAATGCTTTCGAGTAGTCGGCCAACACCATTAAGGTAAGTTCGCCTTTTTTCATGGTCCTGATTATATCATCTCTAGTGCGCAATAAGACAGTGGTGGTTGAATGGCCTATACGGAATCCAGAGATCGTTTGCTTCAAGGGTTGATTAACTTCAATATACGACTATAAAAGCTGAAGTTTCGAGCGTTAGCACTTCGTCGGAGCGAATGAGGGCTAACGCTCGAAACGTCAGCTTTTATAATCGTAACGGTGGCCAATTTACCATTTCCACTTTATTGATTTATTTAAATTATTTCGTTACCCCCACTGACGCAGTCCCAAACAGTTTCTTTAGAAACTATCCGCCTAACTTCAATATAGTCAACTATTTGTTGTGCAACAAGTTTTTCAACGAC